GGATTCTGGGTTTAGGGTGTAGGGTTTTGGGGTTTAGGGTTTCGTGATTTATGGGTTTCAGGGGTTAGGGGTTTAGGGCGTAGGGGGTTTAGGGTGTAGCGGTTTAAGGGTTTGGGGCTTAGGGTTTGCGGTGTAGCGGTTTAGGGGTGGTTTAGGGTTTAGGGTGTTGGGGTTTGGGTTTTGGGTTTTGGGTTTGGGGTTTAGGGCCCTGGTAGCCCAGTTCCAGTGGAAACGAGTGCTTGGTAGCTGCAAGACTTAGGCGGTTTCGCTGATGTTGCAATGTAGGGGCCCCAATCATGAGAACAGGGTTCTTGGTGTGTGTGTGTGTGTTATTGTAAAATGTAGAAAGGAACCCTAAGGAATGCTAGTGACTGGTAATTATTTGAGCTTCTTTCTAACATTAGTCAGACCCTTTCACTGACAAGTGGAGATCCTTCGTATCCTTAAAGGGAAAACCCGGCATCCTTGACTCTGCACTAACAACTGACAAAAGCACCGACCGCTAAACCCAAGACCCTAAACCCTAAACCCTAAACCCTAAACCGAGGTGCTGCCCACAAGGGGAATCTGCATGTGTGGATCGTGGATTGCAGGCTGCAGGTGCAGCGCTCGTCGACCGGCGAGCAGAGGGAAGCGCCCATGCTTTCCGGTGGTTTGGGGCTCAGGGTTTAGGGGTTTAGGGGCTTGGGGGTTTAGGGATTTAGGGTTTAGGGTTTAGGGTTTAGGGGTTTGGGGTTTAGGGGTTTAGGGGTTTAGGGTTTAGGGACAGGGTTGAGGGTGCAAGGTTTAGGGTTCAGGGTTCGGGAGTGTGGTTATGTCGCGGAGGCTCCTGATTGGTCTCCGTACCAGGCAGCCCACCCTATGGCTCCTGACATTCTTTTTGACATGTGGGCATCAGGGCCCAAGTATATAGGATCAAAGTCACTGGCGATGGCCCTCGTAAGTGCACTGGCCATGTCGGACGAACGTCGACCAAAAACTGCTTGGTTTCTGCGAGACTGCTTTGGAAAACAGGAGGGTCGAAAAGAAGACCAAAAGTGATTGCCGAAACGAACATCGACCAGGCGGCGCCTGGCAGGCGGCGGTAATTTATATGGGTCTTCCTTGTCGGCATGGCCTTGTACTGGGCAAACGGAAGGGATCTTATGAACGCTGCGACATGGTCGACTTGAGCTTATACTGTGGGCTTCGTGTGAAGTTGCCCGATCTATGAGCGAGGCTTTCCAAAACCCCTTTAGGACCAAGTTACAGCAAAGGACCTGACCCAGAATTATTCCGAAAAAAAGGAGCCACCTCAATGCCCAGACGAATGAGATTCGTCCTGGAGGAGCCACACAGAAGGCCAAGAATTTGGCCCCGGCAAATCGGGGATGCGGCAACGGAAGTTGCACCGCTTGCCTATCATTGTCGGTGCACGCACTGACTTAGACGAAGAAGATCCCACGCAGACTTGGCAACGAAGCGCCCGCCGCCGTGTGAGACCAGGACATGGAGTGCGGGCAAGGAAATACAAAGTTTGGTCGGGGAGCTGGGAAAAGCGCCAGATTTCGACGAGAGAAAGAACGTCTGCGGAAGTCTACACAAAAGCGAATCAAAATCCCAGGACTTCGGCCGCCAGGAGCCAGGAAACTGTATTGATGAGCCTCAGAAAGAAGCCCTGCGAGATGGTCAGCTGTTTTTTGCCGGGTTTTTCCCCAAAAAAATCGAAAAAGCTCCGGGGCGGCAGGGGGTGGACCTTGAGCTTTTTTTGGGAGTGCCATTTTAGGGTTTAGGGTTTAGGGTTTAGGGTCCATTTTGAAACCGTGAGTGTGGACGAGGCCTCCGGTAGTCCTTTCTGCTCTTGGGAAGCCTCCAAAGTGCTCAAAGGGGCCGGCAGGCATGGTTTATTTTCTCTCCCTCTTGCCCTCCACATGCACGCGCACTTCGTGATGTTCAAGAAGCTCGAGCATTGTCAGGACTTTAGGTTTTGGGGTTCAGGGTTTAAGGCTTTTTCGGTGCAAGGCTTTGGGCTTAATCAGATTTAGGGTTTCCTTGACCTGTTTGTGAATCGTCTCTGATGCCCAATCTCAAACCGTGAAACTCCTAAACCATTCTTCTTCTGCTCGCAATCGTAACACCTCAGTTGGGCGGTTGCTTCGCAAGCGCTTCGGCTGTTTCGGGTCACCCTCGACTTGCTCGTGATGCCTAGGATAGGCCCTGAGAAACAGGTGGGCGGCTAAGCTTGAACCAATTCCGATCATTGTTGCGCTGCTGGCACACGCCTTCTTCCTGCAAACGATGGGGAGAGGCTGGGAGCTACGAAAAGGCTTCCGTGGAGACCCGGAGCCATCTTCGGTTCCGGCTTGTTTTGACTCTCGCCGCTCATCCGCACATCAGTGCACAGGTGGCCGGGAGTGTAACGTAGGAGCCTGATTAAGAAACCCTGGCCCTAGAACCCCAAAATAGTAGGGTTCATATACAGAACCCCAACAAAGACCCAGGGTTTCTTAATCATAGCAGAGGTGAGGGTTCAGGGCTCTGCCTCTAGGGCATCAGGTGGCAAAGGTCGCAAGCATCGGGATCCTTCGTTGCCCAGTTCGGTCGGCCCCAGAACATTCGAACTTCCGGGCGTAAGGGGGCATCTAGTCTCACACAAGCTTGGAGGCTCTTTTGTAGCCTGTAAGTCGTCTTGTACCGAAGAAGGGAACTCGCCGAAATTGATTACCCTGATCCTTCACTAAACTCTGCCGATCAAGCCACGCAATTAACAGCCTCTCAAAGCCAGACCAAAAGGAGTCCACCCAAACCGCTTTCAGAATCCTACAAGCACCCAATAAAACCCTCGAGAGACATTCTTTATGAATCAAGAGGATGCGGTGACAAAATCAAAAAAAAATTGCACGAACTCTTCAGACTCCCATTAAAAAATGTGATATATATATATCAAGCGCCAGGGATCAGGTGGTAGTGGTGGCTCCTGCGCGCCAGGTCTTCCGGCGTGTCCCCGTGGTCGTTCGGAGTCGGATCGGCTCCGTAGTCGAGGAAGAGCCTTTTAGAGGCTTGGGAGGACCTTTAAGGGGTGTAGGGTTCCTTTTAAGAGCTGCCTTTTATAGTCGAGGAAGAGCCTTTTGTGGGCTTAGGAGGGCCTTTAAGGGGTGTAGGGGTTGTTCCATAAAGGGTTCAGGCTTTAGGGATGTAGGGTTTAGGGTTTAGGGGTTTAGGGGTTTAGGGGTGTAGGGTTTAGGGTTTAGGGGTTTAGGGGTTTAGGGTTTGGGGGGTTAGGGGGTTAGGGTTTTGGGCTTTGGGGGGACCGCTAAGGGGCGCAGGGGTCTTGAGAGACTTCTCTCTTCGGAGAAGAACCCACGAGCCTGGCACTGTGCACCGTGAACCTCCAACCCTTTCGACCCCTCATCCCCTTCGTAAAGCCTCGATAAACCACAGATACCCTTGAACCCTCTACGACCCTCATACCCTCCAAAGCTTCGTAGACAGAAACCCTGGACCCTTTAAAATGGGGGAATGGATCCCTATCGTAGCCCCCTAAGGTCCTCTATAGTAGTCCCAATAACCCATTGCCCCATTCCCTACTAAGAACCAGGGAGTTAAACCCCCCAAATACCCGCACAAAAACCCTAAACCCTAGACCCTAAACCCTAAACCCTAAACCCTAAACCCTAGACCCTAAACCCTAAACCCTAAACCCTAAAACACAGCTCCAAGCAGCTGCGCCAGCTGCCCATGGCCGACCAAGGCTGCGTAGCCCAGTGGGCTGATCCCAGACCTTCGGCTGGCCCAGCTTGCGACGTTGAGGGTTTAGGGTTTAGGGTTTAGGGTTTAGGGTTTAGGGTTCTTTCCCTCCCACTGGTTTAGGGTTTAGGGTTTGGGGTTTAGGGTTTAGGGTTTAGGTTTTTTCCCTCGAACATAGCAAGGACGAACCCGCATTGCAGGGTTTAGGCTTTAGGGTTTAAGGGGGTTCAACATACCTTCAAAACAGAATAGAGTTTCGTATCGTATCGTATACTCTACTCTACTATACTATACTCGCAAACAAGAGACTCATAGAATCTACCCTAGAACCCTTCTTTGCGCTAAAGCCTACATTCGAAATCCTGCCCTTCCGACTTCCTGAGCTGTTCCAAGGTTTGCCTACACCAAGCGCTTAAGAGGGTCACAGGGTGTGGCATGTGGGGTTAGATAAGCCCGGTGATGAAGCCAAGTCAAGCGGCATAGAGGCCCGCAGGCGAGTCATCATGTTGCAGTTGGCAAACCCAAGAACCGCCACCCGCATACGGGCCTTCCGGCATTCCCACAAGAAGTCGTCCGATGGAGCGGAGCGCGAGTTGACGTCTGCACGATGCTCCAGTAGAAGTCTGGCAGCCTCCACGGCATGCCGATTGCTCAGCGAAAACAATGCTACTGCGTGCAATGGCCCAAATCGCTCCTGTCGTCCAGCTAGGATATAGTTCGGATCGCACTGGCGCTTCAGAAGCTCTCGAAGCGTATCTGGACCTGCTAAAGCTGCTGCACCGTGCAATGCAGAGTGCTCGAGCTCTGCCTTCTGCTCCAGCAGCGCCCTCACGTGTCCAGGTGATCGGCACATGTATAAGGACGACAGCTGTGTCCTACTAGCACGACCATTGGGATCTGCGCGGAGCTCAACAAGCGTGGTCAGCACAGCCGGGTCTTGATGCGACTTCGTGGCCGCCATCAGAGGAGTCTGTGTGTCGTAGTATCCCAAGTCGTTGAGGCCATGCATGGGACGGCTCACGTCCGCCCTGCTTGCTGCCAACAAGCGCAACATAGCTGTGTCACCAGACAGTATGGCACACATCACTGCATTCATACCACCTCATCTCTGCAGCAGACAACCCGCAGCAGACTTTTCTGGGCAAGGCTTGCAAACTTCTTCTCTAGCAATAGGAAGCACGCACGAACCCAAGTGGTGACCAAATGTCCTACAAAACCCCTCGGCAACAGCGCAACAAGTGCCTGTCAAACACATATGAACAAACAGCGATGCCACGCATCTTACGATATCAGGAACCTTGTAAGCCAAATTTCCGGTGCTTCCTACTCCATTTCCATGAGTAATTCCAATGCTGCTTCTTCTTGATGTTCCTAATCTATACAGATCGCAATCCCGTCTTTCAAAACCACAAATCACATGTACCCGCAGGGGAGGGGGCGCGAACAATCGCAATGAAGACCTGAATGTAAGGTTCCTCATGAATAAACCACTAAACACTCACCTCTAAAAAAAAAGCCTTAAGATCTCAGATGAGGCATATGAACAAAACCCTAAACTCTAAACCCTGAGCACAAGCCTTGATAACCCTAATAAGGCTTCTGAGTAGGTTAGTATGATGAGTTCAAACAGCAGAGCATCATCTAGAGACCCGGGGTCGTTCATCAGCTCTCTACCACAGCCTTTAAAACTCAACAACACCTGCAAGAACCAAGGTAAAGGAGAAACCAACCTTTGTTCAGAATCCGATAACAAAGACTCGAAATACTTTTGAAAAAGCCAAGTGACAACCTTCTGAAACCTTTCTACAACCGTTAGCCACCCCTGTAAGGCCCTCAGAAAAGCCGTGCTCGATCACCCCTAGGAACTGGTATCCTTCACGGCGTCATCCAGGCTGCTGAACAAGAAGTCCTCAAGTGCTCCAAAACCCCCTGCGCTATTTAAACTACCAGAGTAGGGAATAGGGTTGAGGGTTTGGTTTAAGGGTTTCGACTCTCACACTCACACCAAGCAGGCAAGGCTCCACACAATTCCGTCACGCATGGAGAGCTCCGAATCCACAAGATAACACCGGAACCCGTCTAAGACCATAAACCACCCAAAGGTCCCCAAGGGTTTAGGGTTTAAGGGTTTTTAGGGTTGAGGGTTTTATGTTTCGGTTGAGGCTTTAGGGGGCGGATTTGGGGGTTTTCATTGCAAACGAAAACCTGGTGCCACTGGGCCCAAGTCTAGCCAGACCCCAACACCGACCGGCAAACATCGAACCTGAAATCCTAGATTCCAAAACCCAAAGCCCTAAACATCGATGCTTAGGGAGGAGAGCAGCCGGGTAGCATAGAGGCATGAATGAATAGTGTTTGGGAAGCACGGAATGGCATGCATATGTGTTTGTGTGTATATATATACAGGTTTATGCTTTCCTAAATATGTAAATGTTAGTATGATGAGTTGTCGTTACAGTTCTATGTGAAAATATACATATAAATATAATCAACACATATGTATATGTGTATTTGTAAACATATATATACATATATAAACAATACATGAAGAGCTAAACAAATAAATAAATGAATAAGTAAGTATACATATATATATATTCATTTATTTATTTACTTATTTATTCATGTATTTATTTATGTATTTATCTATTTATGTATTTATTTATTTACATCTACATGTATTTGTTTATTTATTTGGTTATATATATATATATAGAGAGAGAGAGAGAGTCAATTTATTGTTTATTTATTTATTTAGCTAGTTAGTTAGCTAATTAGTTAGTTCGGTAGTTAGTTAGCTAGCTAGCTAGCTAGCTAGTTAGCTAGTTAGCTAGTTAGCTAGTTAGCTAGTTAGCTAGTTAGCCAGTTAGCCAGTTAGCTAGTTAGCTAGTTAGCTAGTTAGCCAGTTAGCTAGTTAGCTAGCTAGCTAGTTA